TAAAAACCAAACCAAAACAAACAGCCAAGCTTTAGAAATGCTGTTCTACAAGTACCAAAGACAGTTTTTAAAGTTAGGAAATTCTAGACCTAGATTCTCTTTATAACTTATCTAATTCTATGTGATCTTGCACTATTTTTATCACCTGATGTTTCTGCGTCCCATGCACAGAGCATAGATCCTCTGAGAATGAATAAGAGCTTTGGAGGAGAAAGGTCTGTGGCCTGTGTTGTGTAGGAACCCTGATTCTTTTGTTGTGAAGTTAAAAGCATAAATATAAAAGCCTACAAGTTATATAACCATTTTTATAAGTTTCATAATAAAGTTGAAAACTGGCTCATGACAAAACAAATTGATTATCCTCTTCTGATTCCACAACCTAGAAATGCAAAATTGTGTGATCTATATTCCACCCCAAGAATTAAATTACCTTCATAACAAAGCAGTCGACATGAGGTAATATAAAATCATAAGCAGCTATTAATTTGAGTTCTTTAGGATCAAATTTTAGGATCTGGTTATCACAGGAGAAGGAAGCTATGGTTCAAATATGGATAGCACCTGAGAAAGGTCACATGATCAGCTGTTAAAATAATTGAAGTTATGAGAGCTCACGGGGTAGACTAAGACAGAGAAAGGCATCTTCATTCTTCTCCTCTTGTAAGTTCAGGTGCCAAGATGAAAGCTGTAAACAGGGAGCTCCATTTACTTAGAAACTAGGGACCAGAATCCTCTCCTAAGACTAGATAACTTTACAGTAGTACATGAAGTAGTCAAGTAGCAAATTTTTATGACAGCTTTATCCACATTTTCTAAAATGGACAAAATATTTTCTCATTAAATTAGAAAGCTGCATTGAGAATGTTGCTCATCTTGATAGGTTTCAAATTCATAACATTCTACAGCAGCATGCAAACCACAAGGTTGTCGGTTGCTAGGAGAAAAGGAAGACTTGGAAGTGGAGACTAATGGGCAAAAGCATCAAAATGCAGGATTTGTGGGCTCAGACAGAAAAATACAAAAGAAATGCTTATACAAAAGCTTTGATCATATAGTTTAACCATGCACATTTTTATGTTTCTGATTCTACACTGATCACAGTGATTTAATTTAAATAAACAGTTTTGACCACAGAGACTTGCAAACTAAATTTCTCAGTTAATGTTTGAATTAGAAAATCATTCTCTCACTTATTAACCTTTTGGATTCCCATAATTACTGAATTTTTTACTTTCCATTGACAAAACTCGACAGAAACACAGTAAAATGCATTCCTCATTACTTTTCTAGTAACTCAACATTTGGGCATGAAACTCTGTTGTGTGAGGAAGGCACAGTATTCAGTCCTTTTGTTTCTTTCTTTATGGTACACTATTAGAAAGCATCTAACGGTGGGAAGATTTTCCATCTTCTTTCAGAAATATCATATTTTCAAATTCTTGTATGTTTTATGAAACATTCATAGACTTCTGCATTGTCAGTGCTTGTTTTACATGGGTTAGGCATATCTGGCATATTCTTCTTGGAACCGTCTCTTAAAGCAACTGTTAATTGAATGCTGTGTTCTCCACTCCTCTCACACACAACCAGAGGAGTCTGGGACTGGTTTGCAGATGGGCTCATCATTTATGGGTGCAACTGAGAACAGAGAAAGTAGTGGGAGAAAAGTGCTATATGCACTGAAATAATTCAATTTTTTTTTTCTTTTATGTCTCTTTCTGGCTTGTCCCTCCACTGTAAAATAGGGCTGCTGTTATATGCACTGAAATAAATCAATTCAATTTTTTTTTCTTTTATCTCTCTTTCTGGCTTGTCCCTCCACTGTAAAATAGGGCTGTTGTAAAAATAAACCTGTTACTAGTTTGTGAGGAACATACTGAGTGTAGTGGTGAACAGTGCCAAGGGCTCATGAGGAATTACATCTTCATAGGATTTGAACAGTGTGAGGCAAGCAAAACATGCTACCACCCACTCAGGAAGGAGGGGTTAAAATACTAACTCTTTGCCTGTTAAGTGAACCCCATTCATGTTGGGGGTTGATTAACAAGCCATCTGAAAAGAGTCATCGTGAGCATGTAAAATCTCCATTATAAATTTCAAGGCTCTGACAGATGTATCACAAATCTTTGCACTGGCATTTTCCAAGCCTTTTGAGGCTGATTTGTAAATCTTAATTATAAATTCATGTTATAGATTTTTTTCCCTAACAGTTTTGTATTAGAAAATTAAGATCAAAAAAAAGAATCTTTAAATACTCACTGCATCTATTGACAATTTTGTCATGCCAGCTCTAAACCAATTTGATATGCATGTTTCCAAGCAATTTCAAGCAATCACACCACGTTCTAACACTAATTGTTAACTGTAAACCATTTTTTTTTACAGATACAATATGGAAAGTAGAACAATTAGGTAAGTACTTTATAACATGCCCTATCTAACCCTTCAGTCTCGTTAATGACAGTAGGACTATCCACATTTATACCTTACTTTTGCACAGAAAGACTGTGCAATTGACATGAGAGGATGTTCTGCAGAAACATGCAAAAGACCCAATTAGTGAAGTAGAATGTATTTATTATTACACAACCATAATCTCTCAATAAATAAATCCCACAATATCTAAAGAACATTAAACCCAAGAATTTAAGATCCTCCAGCTTTGTGTTTAGCTTAGATGTAGAAACAGTAACTAAAACTCGAGTGAAAAACAAATCTGGTTGAGCTGAAAAAGGATACCAGTACAAAATTCACATACCAAGCTGAGAAGGCCAACTGGGAAAAAACTTAATAAAAAGAAACAAACAAACGAAAACCCCAAAAACGAATCCAACCATCACTCTTTTGGAGATACAATGATACAAAGTAGGCACTAAAAATAAAAAACAAAACGCAATTTTCACTTCTACATATATGTCAATAGCAGAAAGAAACATTTATAAAAAACTTTTGTCTACAGAATAAGGGAGACATAACTTTCCCGGGCATCAGAATATTGTTGGATCATAGAACTTTCAAGCACAGAATTCTCATTTTGCAGCACTTGACCACCTCTTGACATAACATACAAAGTTTGTAGAGGTAAATTAAAGGTTCTTTGATAAGAAACAGAAAGTCAAGTCTTAGACTCTAAAACTCTCTTAAACATTTTCATACTTCAAAAGCTGGCATTTTCACTAATAATGAAATCACATCTCCTGAAGCAGTTATTTTAAATCTGGACAAATTTGAGCATATTTCTTCAACAGGATTATGAGCTACTGGTGAGTAGATGTGCTGTTTCAGTAACAATGAATGAAGAGCATGAAATAAATGGATTATGAAAATCAAGAGCAGTAAGAGCAGTAATCAGATACATAATGTCACAGAGTCACATAATGTTACATACATTCTACCAAGTCAACTCCTTGTTGTACACTTGTACATACTTCTACCAAGTCAACTCACTTGATTGTACAAATCAAGTGGTGCCACTCAGTAAGTTTCTGTTAGTATGCAGATCTCTACAGAATTTCAGATCAGTGACACACCTAAATGAAAAGTCCATAGAATGAAACTATATTTGTAATGGTTTTTAACTTTCCCATTCCCTCTTCAAAAACCTTGAAGATATAATTTTAGGGTTGGTGTATTACCTGTCTTTGTAGTGTATCTGATAACAATTTGAATTGAATCCTAGGACACATTCTTGTTGCTCAGAACAACTTCCAGTGTTCATAACACTTCCATATTGCTTTCGCTTTAAAAATGTACCCTAACTCACTTAGCAGCTATTCCATGTGTTTAAATTATGTAGCTCCTATGAAATCAACTATGCTAACTGGCAAAACAATAAGAGATTCAAGGAGAGAATATATGCTTTAGGGCTCTCTGGAAAGGCGTAACATAATCAAAGTTACACATCCATATGTTTATCTACAGCTGCACTAATTCAGACATATGCACAGTGCTGTTCCTTCATGTCATAAAATATTTAATACTATATGTTTAACTTTCAATATGAAAAAAACTAACAAACCAAATAATTTCTTTTATTTCTTTTCATGTTTGGAAACAGAACAGTACATTTCTCTTCATAGGAAAAAAAAAAAAGACAAGGGAAATGAAAATGAAGTAATCTTAACTGTGGGGAGGCAGGAGCAAGCAGAGTTAAAGTAATGAGGCATTTTACCCCTAGGACTATCTATATCAGAGTTTTTCTAAAAGATATCTGTTAGCTACATTTCCTTCTTCAAATTATTTTAGTTTCTGTTTCAGCTGGACATGAGGAGGGCAGGGAATGGGAAGGAAAAGCAATTCAATTTTAACACATTTGTATGAAACACAAGAATCTGGATGTGTCTTTCTTGTTCTTACATCTTCTCATTTGTCACTCGGTTGATGACTCATAAAACTCTTATAAGAGTCTTATTTTTCTCTGAGGTAGGCTATAACACCGAATTTCAGGAAAGTGGACGCTTTTACTTTCGAGCTTTCACCTGTCATCCCAGTACCCAGAACAACACCACCTCCCGCTAACGTTTTAATAAACTTCTGGGAAAGTTGGGTAGCGACGATCCCCAGCGCGGAGCGCCGGCTTTGAGAGGAGCCTGTTCTTGGGCCAGCCCCACGGGCAGGGGCAGCCCAGGGGCGGACAGGGACAGGAGAGGGATAGGGACAGGTCAGGGGCAGCCGCAGTCCAGGAGCAGGGGCAAGGCCGGGGGCAGGCCAGGGGCAGCATCCCTGGTCCACGGCACCTTGACCATGAGGCTGGCCGGCCTCTCCCGGGACTCTCGGCAGCTCTCCAGCCGCCCTTCCCAGCGCCTCCAAAACCTGCCAATTCAAACTGTAGGAACGGTCCCCCGCGCAGACACTCACCCTCCAGCAACAACGCCAGCACACCGGCCCGGCTGAGCCCCCGCCCCGCCACTGCCCGCCGGGGCCGCAAAGCCCCGCGGTGACTCCCCGGACCCGGCCGTGCCTGCCGCGCAGGTGGCGCCGGAGCGGCCGCGCTCTCCTACCTGTGCCCGCCTCCGTCACCTGTTGCCCGGCTGCCTCCATCGGCGCAGCCCCCCGGCGCCTCCTCCCGCTCCGGCGGCGCAAGGGGCTTCTCGGGCTCGCGGGCCACCTCCATCCCGCCGGGCACCGCCTCCTCCTCCACCTCCTCCAGGGACTCCACGTAGAAGACGGTGCGGGGCGGCGGCGGTCCCGGGCCGTGCCCCGTGGCCGGCCGGCCGCCGGCGGGCAGCAGCGTCCCGTTGGGCGGGCTGGCCGTGGTGGCCGCCGAGGAGGAGGCGGAGGAGGCGGATTTCTTCCAGAAGACGCCGTTGCCTCTCTCCTGGCTCTTCAGCAGGCGGCTCTGGCTCGGTCCCCAGTGCTCGAAGCTGCTGTCGGGCGGCAGGCAGCCTCCCCCCGCCGGGCCGCCCGCCGGCGAGGGGTGGCTGAACAGTTTCCAGCGGAGGCGCAGGATGTGCTTCACGTCGAAGTCTTTCCTGCCGGAGCCGGACATAGTGCCGCGGCGGGCGGGGGACGGGCGCGGGCTGAGGCGGGACTCGCGGCGGCCAGGCAGGGCCGGGCGGTGGCGGTGGTGGCGGCGGCGGCGGCAGCGCGGGGCGGCCCCGCTCCGGCAGCGGCGGCGGCAGCGGCGGCTCCTCCGGGCAGCGCTGGGCTTGTAGGGCGAGGGGTGGCAGCCGCCGGGCGGAGAGAGATGCGCGCACACACCAGTGCGGAGAGAGAGGGAGGATGGATGGAGCGATGCACAGAGCCAAGAGGAGGTAGAGACACGCAGCAGGAAAGGGAGAAAGAGAGAGGGAGAGATGCCCAGAGCTGACGAGAACTGCACGGTGATCAGTGGAAAGGGGAGGAGAGAGAGGCAAAATTGAGATACAGCTCTCAGGGGAGACGGACACTTGCGAGGGAAGAGCGGGCGAGGGAGGCTGCTACGACGCGCTAATCTGATTAACGGGGGAGCGAGCTACAGCCCGGAGAGGAGCGGCGGCGGCAGCAGCCGCAGCGGGGGGCAGGTGGCACCTCCTCAGTCTCTTAGAGCTCCGTGACCGAGTGCAGGCAGAGAGGAAAAAGTCACCTGGAAGCCTCTCTCCACCTCCCGCCTTCCCATCCCGTTTCTCTGGGGAGTCCCATGCCTGCCGTTATCTGGGATGGCAAAGCCTGAGAGCTGGCACAGAAAGAAATCGGGGCTCCTTTATATGCACTGTACGTAGGAGGGGAAAAAAAAAATCCCGCCCGTGAGGCTGTCAAGGTCCTCAGTATACAATTTTCTGTCTATCTGGGCGCCTCTCACCAAGCCGCCCCCTCCCATGCATGTGACGCAGATGTGCTCTGGGGCCGTCAGCGTGAAGAGACAGAGGGGGAAAAAAGATGCTTCAAGCTTCGTCGTGCAAGTAAGTCGGCAGGTCACTCACTGCCCTCACAGCCTCCTCCTCTTCTCCCTCCAGTGCAGGTCTACTCACCTTGATATTTTGGTTCTGAGACAGCTGTATATTACTGGAAGCAAAATAAAGTACAACAACAAATGTATCAGCAGCAGTAAACACAAAAATGTGAATAATAGGAGTACTGACTTAATAGACTGCATGCAGACTGGATGAGGTTGCAGGTTAACAATGTATTCTGCAGGCTCCATTCATTAGCCTGTTGGCTCAGTGTTGCTGTACCAGTAGAAAACATTGGCTGGAGGTACAGTGCCAAACAGAAATAGCACAACACATCTGCTTCTTACCTTTCATACCTGCTCTTAATGCAGCCTGACAGTGCTAAACCCAAGGGAGGTTCCTTTCACAACATAAGAGATCTGCTTAGGAACATCTGCCCACTTGGGAGGGGTGTCACAGCGTACACTGCATCGGGGACATAATTACAGAATTAAAAGCTTTACAGTGAAATGTAGGAGAGGGATATGGCAGCGAAATTGCATATCGTCACCTGGCTCGTAAACCCCACGCATGAGAAGTTGGTGGCAATAAGATGATACACAGAATACCTGCAATTCACCTGTGCCTTACTAAGTAATGTTTTAGAAAAGGACTTATCCCTAGGAAAACGATGAAGTAGATTGTATTTTCAACGAGGAATTTTTGCATTGGCCAGCTTTACCCATGCACCCATGAGCTCTTAAAAGTTTGTTGTTCTAACTCTGTAAAACCAATAAATAAGGTTGAAGGACTTATTTCCCTCAAGCTAGAATGTTTTAACTCCTCATTCATAAAGTATTATAGCTTGAAAATTCCTCCAGGGAAGCACATAAAGTCAAACATGAATTAAAAATTTTATTACTGTTATATTTACTTCATGACTGAAGTATATTACTGTTTTGTTGAATTTGTCAGTGGAGTAGTGCTTCTGGATAAAAAACAATATTAGGGTTTGTGTTTAACACTGATAAAATCTTGGATTTAACAGTACAAGAATTCAGGGCACCAAGTCCTACTTTCAAAGGAAGAAAAATTGCCACTGTGCATTTTAAATATTGATTTGTACCACAACAGTTGGACTGAAAACTCCCTGGTGCCTCAACTTTTTTCTCAGTATTCACTGATAAAAGAGACAAAAACCATTCTAAATCAAACAGAAGACACAATTCACTTTTATCCAGGAGCTGTTCTAAGTATGTGCTGCTTAGGAGAGCCGCAGGAAGAAATGCCTAGAAATCTTCATCTAGAATAGGACAGATGAAACTTCAGTAATTTCTGAGTGTAGAAATGCATGTGTTATGATGAAATACATGAAATCATCTATAGTGAATACTGGCTACTTAGTGTCTAGTTACATGGTCTAAAAGATGGGGGTATCTTCATATAAAATAGATTTAATCAATTAATATATAGATAGATAGAATGCTATCTCTTCTGTGTTTAATAGCTCTTAACTGATTAGGCCTATTCAGATACTCTGATTTGAGGAGGACTGCATCATTTCTTGCCATGTTATAAATCTTAGTAATTTTTAAATCTGCATTAATATTTAAATTGATAATTTGATGTGAACCATTGATAAGTTAGATATTCTATCTTTACTTCACCTAAATAGATAAAAATAAATGAAAGTACATTCAAAAAAAGTATATTTTCTAAATATACTTCAGAGGTCACTCAATGAATATATATTATAGTGCAACCCAAGGAAGTGATTTTGAGTTTTTTATCACCTGTCCATGCAGTACAAGCTATCAAGCAATTATAAGAAAAAAAGGTGGAAAATACTTTAGGTTATTTGTTATTCATATGTTTTTATTTCAGTTGTGTCCCTAACTGAAATAAAATCTTGGATTTTTTTTAATAACTAAAATCTCGGTTCTTCAATATATCATGTATAAGCACTGAATACTTAACATTACTTGATCCTTTCATATTTTAGTACATAAATATTTTTTTGCAGTAAGAGATGCATTAATTTGGCATGCATGCCGGCTTTTTTTCCTGCATGAAGATGTATGAACACTTAAGTATTATAAAATGAAATCTGGAAAACTGTCTTGATTATCTTAGTTCATATCACGATCACAATTATTTTGTCAATATACAGTAAAAAAGAGCTACCCCCCGAGAAAGCTATATTGAAGAAGCAGTGATTGTCAGTATTTATAGTTAATTAATAAATTGGTTTCCTGAGCATGAAGTAGAAGAATTAAACAGGTTGGTTTTGATAGGTTTTCACAGAATCTTATCTTCATATTTCCCAGTGAATGCTTTTGACATATGCTGGGGAGGCAAAGAACATATTCTGGATTATCACATGAAAGAAAAACAAAATGCTTTTGAGTTTCAGTTGAAACTTCTGGTACATAAAAATATTAACTTAACTCTGTAATTTGTCTAGGCTTGCTTCTCCATCCAGAAGAAGAAAAATTAGTTCTCCTACTCGAGTTCTGGGGACCTTACTCATAGGAATTAGACTAAAATAATTAGCTTACTAGTCAAATATGTCTTAGTCTACTGATTTGGGATTGACATAGACATATGATTAGAACTATGAAATTGCACTTGTTTTTTTAGGTTGTCAAAAGGAAACATTTTGATGTATTGCAGCCTTCCGTCGGTGTCTTATGTGTTCCATGAAGTATAGCCAAAATAATAATGATCACAGGTAGACTTTCCTGTCTGTTAGTTGCACACTTGTGTATCACATTGTATTTTTGTTTATTAAGCAGCATTTCTCAACTTCCACCCCCGATGTAGTTTCCCTGGATTATTCATTGCCACTCAAATCTTGAATAACTTTACAGACTTTGCTTGAAAGTATTCAAGGCTTTTTCTTTGTCTATTAGTCAGGCAAACAGATGAAAGTGGTTAATCTTTATGTTCCTGTTATGAGTCAGATTCCTGACACTTTCTCTTTGTGTTTTTGCCTTTCTAATGCTCTTCAAATGAAATAAATTCACATAGTCATGTCCCTAAGGAAGTCTCATGCTCATGTTTTATAGGAAAAATGGCCTAGGGATATATATCCTTTTAATAAATCTTTCAAATAGTCAAAAGCACTTGAAAAGAAAAAAAGCTTGAAGTAGGTATCCAAATGAGTAAGATTTTATTAACCCTCTTTTTTTCCTTCTTTCCATTGCAGAGGTTTGGAGTACTGTTTATTTTTAGGCACATGATTTATGTGGAGCTATTTGCATGTTGTAGCCCAGGGAGAACTGGTGGATTAGGACTGAAGTTGAGTTTTAGTTGGTTATTGATTGATAAAACAAGCAACAGAGGAAACATCATGCAAAGAAACCCCTTAGGGTTAAGAGTAGTCTTAGTCTGTGTGAGTGTCTGCATTCCATAAAGTCAAAAGATACAGCAAGTGAGTCTAAGAGTGATGAGCTTATGTGTACTGGGAAAGTTACCAATAAGAGAAGGGATATTCCTCTCGACAAATTATAAGGATAAGGCATAATTTTGTTACTGAATTTTATGCTGTCAATAAATTAATCCAGAAGACACTACATTTTGATGAGAATAAGCACAGAAAAAAAAAAATAAAGGAAGAGAGAACTGTGCCTTGGGTAAGGATGATACTAGAATGAATAGTCTTTACAACAATTCTCACTTTAATGTGGGAGCTCTCAAACTCATGAATGAACATGCACTTCAGCTATAAAGATGCTTATTTTGTGGGTGGTTAATTATACATTCCAAAGCTAGAGAGTGTTAAAATGATGCTGTGAAACAGAACTACAGAATACTCAAGCTAAAGAAAGTGGAGAAAGAAATTGATGGGATGGGAGATTCATTGAGAGATCAAAACTCAGTGCAGAAAATGTCAGTATGCTAAGTGATTCAAGCAAATAAGTAACGCTTTAGAATTATTATTTAAACTTTTGGTGTGTACAAAGCCTTTGAACAAGTTTTATGATATGTAGATATATTCTGAATCTATTTTGGTAAGTAAACTGAGAAACCTTGGGAATAGATGGTAGTTGGGAGAAATTAAACTCTTATATTTTTTATAATATATACACATAATGCTGTGGTATTCCTCTGAGCCAAGTTGTTGAGGTGATTTTCC